CCCAACCATCATATTTGCTGGTCAGTAACACCGCCCTCCCTCCTTTTGTGATGATAGGCCCTCTTACTTTAGTGATAAGTATGAATATTGCTTTAATCAAGGCCCGTAGTTGAAATACTACTCTACTACTTCCATGTTACGAGCAAATCGGATGGCTAAGGCATTTGCATTATGGGTTAGACATCCACAAAGTATATCATATTGTCATGAGGATAATTAATGGTTAAGCTATAAGAGACAGATCTGATTATATGTGGTTAAGAGATGGTAAGAACTAATAGCAAATTAGAGGGTATGAAATTGTAAAATTTTCAGGGTAAGAAAAATAAAATATTGAGTAACTCACAAGAATTTAGGACATTTTGAGCTTATTTTGTTAGGCCTTACTTGATCAGCATACATAAGACTATTGAGTTATCTGTCTACTTGTAATATAAAAAAGTGGGTTCTCTGATTAGACCACGTGAATCAGCAAAACAGGGACACAATATGGCAGTCTTTATAGATAAAGATTTTAGGCAGGTCATGTTTCAGAAATTGCAGAAAATGTAGTAATTATAGCAATCGTGAGCAAACCAAAAAAGAAACAAATATGCGGAACTACGGGCAAGGATAGAATAAACGATGCATACAATGGGAAAACGAAGAAATAGTCATCACGATGAACACATATGGAGGGGTTTTTCACATACTGCAGAAGGACATGCCACATTAGAATCCGTACATGCAACGTCACATTGACGATATATGAAGAGAAGTTCTAAAAGCAACTTTCGTTCTCTAGGTCAAAATGTATTGGTGTTTTGATGCAATGTAATAGACACATGAAATCTTGCCAACAATAAGTCTCCATCGAGATGTTAAGTTGGATTTCTGAACCCCGAATAGTTCACATAAGTCTCGTCTCAGTCCCGAAGAATAAGACACTAATTAACCTTACTCTATTTGAAAACTTGTTTTTCTGTCCTTCTATGGATTCATGTACTCGTTATCTTATTGTATATATAAATGCACAGATTTAGCGAATGATATCTTCGGAGAGAAAACTCTCCTTTCTGGAAACTTTTTGTTCTTAAATCAGTGACTCAATGAATTGCTTTATTAATAGTGATGGTTTCTACCACCTTATAAAATTCTCTTCGAAGTTTGCAATGCAGTGGTCATGAATAAACATAACAAAATTATGGCCACCCAGAGAACGGATTGGATTGAGTTTAAGTTTTTCAATGTGATCAATATTAGGCAAACGTTGACATCCTAAGTAAATAGGCATTGACTTATATTGATAAGAATAACAGGGAAATGGTCAACTGTGATAATCCTTCTCGTTACGTTGAATCTATGGTGAGCATCTGAGCTACCTTTTGATAAATTGTGGGGACACAGGGACACATGGATGCAACAAGGTATGCGACTACACTTGAGCTTCCAAACCAGTTAAAACAAAAACTCAATGATTCCATAACCAAAATAGCAAATACATGTATAGTTACGAGTCTATTAAACTATTCTTTACAGTGATTATGGACGTGAAACTCGTCAAGGACTGAAAATCACGGCCTGAAAAATCCTGTGAACAAAGTGACGAATCCGAGATATAGGGTAAAATTAAAAGATCTGTATCAAAAGAATAAACGAATTGGATTCAGAGCTTCGCCACATCAAATATGTAAGTATTCGACAAAAATACTGACCATTATTTATAGTGATTCTAAAGTTTGAATAGTTCTACTCAAGAGTCAGATGATCACAAACATAGGCGCTGTAGGACCGGTGACATGTCACTGAGTCCTAGCCAGATCATCTGGCAGTTGCGTCGATGAATGTTGAACGGATCGTCGGTCCCCGTCAAGGACAGCCAACGCTCATCAGCTAATCGTATGCCATGGACTGGCGTATGCGATGGTGGTCAAGCCATCTTCTCCGTACTCAGTCGTACCAATATATTTCTATAATAACGTCCTTTGTGTTACATGGTTATCAAAATAGCCATAGTACTTTGATACGTCCAAGGGGTGGTTAACGTTAGATGCCAATCGCAAGGTATTGCTTCGAAGTTAGCTGGTTCGTCACACCGTTCCCGTCTAACTCGAGTAGCCGTCCAATCATTCGACAGAGATTATCAATGTTGACGATCTACACCACCTCGATCAACTGGTTTGACATTCGCGGATTAACTAAAACGCATAATTCTACATAAGGTGGTCGTAGTGGCTAAATTTAGGTGGCCAAGAGCTAGCAGATGACCTTCTGTGAAGAGGAAGACGTCTGAGATGAAGTAGCTATCTACTTTCTTGTTTTATGTATGGATTATATTTCCCGTTTCTATGTTAAATAGTGAGAAACTTGTACGTTTAAATAGCAGCGTGGAGCCTCACTCGCTCCGTGCGCTGTGTAGTAAAACACATCACAACCACCTTAAAGTCTTCTAAGCCACTACATATTGAGAGATAAATGTTAGTCCAGCATAGTCGCTGATGTTCAGGACGCCAACCAAACAACTGAAATCAAACGGCCTATCTTGGCGGGAAAAAAGTGCCAAATATGGCACAGTGAGTGTGAAGTCCATCCTACTGTGCCTTACTGTTCAGATGCTACTACAAATTGCCTCGTGCTGAGATTGATATCGCTAACTGGAAAAATGCCTAGTGCAATACTTACTAAGGGATCAATCGAATATAAAATAAAAACATATACAATTCAGCCAGTAACTACTGGGGTTCGGAGCATACGATGCACAAGTGAAGTGAGGAATGTAGATTTGAAGTTTGTGGCACGTGTGATTATAAACCCTATCGGAGTGTCTAGTTCATGACCTTGAACTTCTAGTCAGAAGGTTTCAAATAAAGATCAGATACTCAAAGAATTATGTTTACATTAGATAAACAACTGCACATCATGTGGTTTCCCATGAAACGATTTTGTTCGCCTTATCTGTGTAGTTGTCTGCGCTATATGGTATTCGACTGGCTTTTCACTAACAGTAAAATGAGATCATCGATTCCAATCCTTTTGTTTTGTTTAAGGATAACTGAAGGTCAGTTATCCCCAGTCCCTGTTACGTACACTTGGTCCCATTAACTGGCTGACATTTATATAGTCTTAGGTACTTCTTTTTCCGGCGATAGGAACGGACTTACTGTTATTATACGGGGCAAATTCGTTTGGGTGGTAAAATGTTTTAAAGGAAACAAAAGATAACAGACCTCTATGAAGTTATTTAATTTCATACATAATCACTATGTTCACATTTATAGGGGATGTTTCCCTGACTTAGTGCTTTACCTTTCTGGATATCTGACAAAACTTGTTATGTCAAATTTTCGGTTTCAAATAGGGATATCATGAAAGACCTCTCAATAGTATGGCCACTGAATCCTTTAGGTTCACAATTTGTAGGCTGTGCGACCCTTCCACGTAAGAGGTAATTCTGACATTACTGACAGTCGCCTTCAAAGTCCTAGCTCGGAGATATTTTTGGCACTTCTCGTGAGACCTTCCTAACAACAAGTCCTTCGAAACCTTCAAATGGTAAAAGCAATAATTTTTGTTAAGAACATCTCAAATGTGCTTTCTATGCAGTAGAATAGGCAGTATTTTATCAGAGCATCTACAGGATCATCCTGATTGTTAGTACCACAGGACCCCTAACAAAACATATCGACCGATGAATTAGAAAATCTTCGTCAGCTGAGGTGGTTGGGATAATTATCTGATGACCTTAACCGCCGCCTACCTCTATAGGAGATGTTTTCCGGTTTGGGAGTAGGTTGAAAGAAATCTAAAGACGGGGTTTGACGGAGTCATTCGACAATAAAGGATCCCTAGACATTTCACTCATCGTACACGAGTCAATTGAAAAGCATTCACTGCATCTAAACAGAAATCTCTGAAACGAGCTGACAGCAACATTAGGATACCGTAAACCAGTGCAACAAGACAAAGATACACCTACTAAGTAGGACATGGTTCACTCTGCCTTTCTAAGGGGAACGGCCTTAATCCTGAAGAAACCCTGATCTTTCAAACTAGTGGCAGATATTTCCTCTTTCAGTAGCTACATGGGTTTTAGGACTCCGTTATTACGACAGCCTACGAGATTATTGTTTATTGATAGACTTCTTTTCACTCAAAGGACCACTCATGAGAAAGACTGCTGACTACGATCGACTGATGAACACACATTCTCGATAGCGAGGGTAACATGGATGTGATGTACTCTGAATTCGACGAGGCTTTCGTAAGGATAAATTAACTCAATTCAAGTAGACATATATTTAGTCAGGACTGATGGACTGGTCAAAATCTTGTGTAGATAATCCGTTTCTTAAGTTAAGGGTAATTTGTTCTCAGGCTGATGAGAGCCTTTAAGAGGTCTTACAGGGTTCAGTTTTACTTTAGTTATACAGGTTAACTTTCTCAGTCACTACTTTTTATTCATGATGTTAAGATTGGGATTAAGATTTGTGACCAATATGATGAATTAGCTTTAGGGAGATCTGACTAAACTTAAAAGTTAGAATGATAACAATGGAATGGCTTCAACACATCTAAATGTAGTGCAATCCATTTGTGATGTATACTATACATATATGCGACGTCAAAAATCCACCACTATGGGTGTCCTAGGTTGACAACGATCTTGTTGTCCTGGCGCCATGTGGTCTAAGGTTGTATCCTGTGAACAAAGTGCATATAGAACAAACTTTAAGCAGATAATTTCGATACTCATTTAAAAAAATTTGACTGCAGGACTTTCCACTAAGTTGTAGGTAGTTAGGATATGTTAACATAGTTTCTCATTCTTTACCACAACAGAATGAGAGTACCTTTGGGTATAACAAATGATGAGCCAAGAAACCAGTTGGAGGACTCAAGTCTAATCATTCTGAAGAACGTCCAAAATCACTATATCTCTAACCAGATTGAAGATACCACAGGTATTGTAGTTTGACAACACGTTACCAGTAACACCATCTATAATTGAATCGAAGGAGCGTATTTTAGTTGTGCCGTTACATAGGAAATGCAAATCTCTTCTTAAGGTGGATTTTGGTATTTGGTTGATTCACTTTATTTGTTGATTGTTGCAATGGTACTTGTAAAACCTTGCTTCTTGAGCATGCATTCGGGAAATGTGTTGGTAGCTTCCGCTTTCTAGCTGCCAGATAAATTTCACTGTTTCCCAAACAACTAATAAAGGGGAAATAAAGGCGAACAAAGGTTGGAATCAACATTTCCTTTTTTATTAACGCTTTCATCAGCCGTATTTCCCCTTTGTTCGACTTTATTTTCTCTATTTATTGGTTTCTTGGGTTGTAAACGAAAAGTCCTGAGCTACGACCTAGAATCTGGGAAGGACCTCTAAGACTTACACTGGTTTGTAATGTCTTGATACAAAAACACTAGATACTGGACATTCTGTGTGATTCTAAGGTGCACACTTACACATCGTAAGACTTCATTCTCAAGTCGACTATGCCTAGTGCTGAAGGTATATTCATTAGTAGTGAAGTAATTCTGAAATGGTCCTAACTAGAACATCAGAAATCAGTGTTAACTGATAGTTACCTGGTGGGTATTATCTTCGTGAGAATCTGTGGTATCATCTACCTGCATTAATGATATCATCAAAATTAGTGTCAAATATAAATTTTCAGCTCAATCCAGACCTAACGTCTGGAAAGCAAACATACCAGACATCATGAAGTCAGAATCATCAGTAGATTGGAAAATAGACCCAGAGTCATCGATCGAAACGGCTTGGGACGTATTCCGGAATTTATACTTAAAAGTTACCGCCCCCCACATCCCTTGGACTACACCTAAGGGGCCGAGAAACTCATCACCGTGGTTCAGTAGGGAGGTTCGCATCCTTCTCCGTAAAAGAAGGAAATTGTGGGACAGATTTAGGTTACTGGGGACTGACGAGGCAAAATCTCAGTATCAAAAGGCTCGAAATACCTGTGACTCGACCCTCCGTAAGGCCAGAAAGCTGTACGAAGAGAAAATCGTTAGGGAATCCATAGAATGCCCTAAACGCTTGTATTCGTATATAAACCAAAGGACAAAAAGAAGAAATGTTCCTTCACTATGGGGAGAGAGTACTGCCTCATCACTAGTGGAGGACGACTTTGTCAAAGCTCAAGTATTCTCTAAATACTTTAGCGATGTATACACTATAGAAACACCCTTCTCACCAGTTCATGAAAATCCCCCACACAAGTACTAAACAGCGTGACCATTAAAGAACTCGATGTCTTTGGTCTGCTAGTTAAGCTTGACATAGGTAAATCCACTGGACCCGATGAACTGCATCCTAGGTTACTAAAGGAATTAGCTAACTTTGTTGCGAACCCTTTAAGTGTATGTTTTAATCTATCCGTAACCCAGGGTCGTCTACCAAAAGACTGGAAGAACGCCATAGTAAGTCCAGTCTTCAAAATAGGTACAAAACAAGCCTGAGAATTACCGACCAATTAGCCTAACTAGTGTGGTTGTTAAAATCTTAGAAGAGATTATTCGGAAGGGGCTGTTAAAGTATCGATGAAAACCGGATCCTCTCCGAAAAACAGCATGGTTTTAGAACAGGTTACTCTTGTCTCACAAACTTATTAGTCGCTCGTGAAAGCTGGTGCGCTCTTAAGGACGAAAAGTTACCTATAGACGTAGTTTACATCGATTTCAGCAAAGCTTTCGACAAAGTTCCGCATAACCGGCTGTTATATAAGCTAAGGAATGTCGGGATTGGAGGCAATCTATTGATGTGGATAAAAGACTTTCTAGTTGGGCGTCAACAAAGAGTAAGAGTGAACTCCAAGTTGTCTAGCTGGGAAACTGTGCTTAGTGGAGTCCCCCAGGGTACAGTTTTGGGGCCAGTGTTATTCCTCCTGTACGTAAATGACCTCCCTCATCTACTATCATCATGTCTTACTCTATGCTGATGATGTCAAGATATGGAGAGCGATACAAAGCAAGGGCGATAGCTTAGAACTTCAAAATGTCCTGGAAAAATTATCTGAATGGTCCCAAACCTGGCAATTGCCGATAAACACTTTCAAGTGTATTGTGATGCATATTGGCCACCAAGGTACAGATACATACATGATGAATAACACTGAGTTACCTATTGTCCAGGCACACAATGACTTAGGCGTCATCGTTAGTCAAGACTCAGAGACTACTGCACACTGCCGTGCAATAGCCGCCAAAGGTTTTAGGACTTTATGGTCCATACGCAGGGCTTTTAGGCATCTTGACGCTAAAACGTTTCTGACTTTGTATACAGTGTTCGTACGTCCTAAACTTGAGTACTGCATACAGGTAGTTAGCCCCTGCCTAAAAAAAGACAGTGAATTCTTGGAAAGGGTTCAGAGAACAGCAACTAGGCTGATTCCCGGAATAGAGAAGCTTCCGTATGGTACTAGACTGACCAAGCTAAACCTATTCCCGCTGTCATATAGAAGAATCAGAGGCGACTTGATTACAGTTTTCAAATTGCTTAATGACAAATCTGCACCTGATATGCCCTCATTTTTCTTGTCTTCCAAAACAGAAAATCTACGAGGACACTCCAAAAAAGTTCACAAGTCCAGAACGAATTACTTGTCATCTGACTACCGACTTTCCCATCGAATAATCAACGAGTGGAATTCATTACCTCAGCACGTGGTTGAGGCTCCATCCGTCGACTCCTTCAAAAGAAAGTTGGATCAGCTGAGAGACCATCATTGCCAGGACTAACACAGGCCATCAAGCCTCCTGTCCTTTCCAAACTGAAACTGAAACTGTAAGAAATGTGATGAGCTTACCACAGCAGAATATGATGACATTCACCCTGTTAGTAGTATATTCAGTTCAGATTTAGACGTTTAGCCAGGGGCGAGAATAATAAGACAATTGTAAACTTTTCCAATATTGGCTGTTTTTACAATGTGTTGTATTTCACAGCCCCGACATCTTTACTAAAAGTACCATAAATTTCAATCGGCTAGGTAGTATGCTATCATTAAAACACAGGAGATATGCTCAAGGAGTTATGAAGTATCTCGTTAGTGATTTACGTACAAACTCCGAATGTGCTAAACCTGGTGACTCCAGAGCGACGCAAACAATCTTAACTAATTAACCTTTCAGTTATGTTTTATCTGTTAGAGGTTGAAAATCGGTCTTAAATCTGAGAATATGGTGAATATAAAGAGTGGTCTCTTTGTCGTGAACTGTTTGAATATGTACGTTCATCTAATATCCATTATTACTTTGACTCTAATCATATATAGAGCGTCAGTCAGCAAGTGCCCACTGGTTCTTCAGAAAATGACAAACTCTTGTTGCATTATATTCTAAAGGGTATAACCTGGAGTTTGCATTTTTATGAATTAGTACTTAGATAACTTTTTTTACATATCTGTAAAAATATACACTACTAACCGTCTTTTTAAACCTATGAAACGTGGTGTCCAAATCTGTGTCAATCTGCTTCTAACATGGAGCTGATCAGGTGGTTCGTGCATTTTATTTTTATTATATGTACCTCAGATTTAGGTTCCGCTCTACATATTTCCTCCCATGGGTTAGTGACTCAAAACCTATTACGGTGATTTCTATTTGGCTATTGACTTTCAGTTAATAGAACTCTAATAGACTTTGGTCACAAATAATTTTTTTTACAATACACCACTTTCCATACTTTTCCTATCTAGATCATAATATTTTTCAGTTGGGAAACTAACACGTTTGGTCATTCTCTCAAATGATCAAAGTGCCTGGCTTTGTTATATCCCAGTTATTGGGACGAGGGACGTATGGACACGTATACATGGGAAGAAAGTCTGTAAGTAAAAGTTCTATGCATAACCTTCATATATTTTTAAGGGTTCAAGTAAGCCAGTAGCAATCAAATGCATTATGAAGTCGAAACTAAGTAATCAAGGCCGGGATAATTTAGTCAGTGAAATTTCTATATTGAAAGCTCTTGAACATCCCCATATTGTTCGTATGCTTGATTTTACAGTAAGATTATATTAATTAATGATCTTCGGATTAGTGGGATGCATCTTTTGTATATATTATAATGGAGTTTTGTGGTGGAGGAGATCTTGGGAGATTTTTGAGGTTGAAAAGAAGACTAGATGAACTACTTGTGCAACGCTTTTTACAACAATTAGGTAAGCAAGTGTACACCCTGACATTTGCCTCACCATAATCAATAGCATTAGCTCTCCAATACTTAAAAGACAAGAATATAGTCCACATGGATTTAAAACCTCAGAATATTTTGCTCACATCAACCAACAATCCAAGCTTGAAACTTGCTGGTAAGTCCGGTTACTTTTTATTACCTTACTATAACGTGCAATGGATTTCGTTTACATAAAAATACATAATAGAATTATAAAATCATTTTTGAAGATAGTTTCCATCACAGTTTGACACCAGATGAAACAACTGGACAGCCAAGTTATTTCTACCCATTTATTTTAGTAGACGTGGTTCGCTTTTCAGCATTGGTAGAATAAATAACGCAATCACGTAATCGATCTCGAAGTATTATCAAGCTGTTTATGTAATATTCTACGACAATGTAGATGTAGACATGTAGTTAGACTTGTCAACATGATGTTCTGTTTAGTTGCGAGTTGCAGTTCACTTTAGGTGTAATCAAGAAGTATTTGATCTTATGGAGGGTGGTAAAACAACTGTCATATCGTTTTCTCACAAATTACCATTTACAAGAAAATCATGATAATGCGGCGAAAGTTTTTGCCGACGAATGGTCTTTACGTATTATCTATTTGATTACACACTAGAAAATGAGTGCCAGTGCATATATAGCTCAAAAAATTGTCAGTAACAATACAACTCAGTAACCAAGTGTATGCTCCAGTACTTTGAGCCACACAAGTTTCAGATGAATACTGTCAGAGTTCAAACTTGTGACCCAATTTTCGAAACTCTGGTGTTTTAACCATTATACAATCGCCTCATAATTTCCGTGTTATGGATACCCTCTGAGTTCTCGGACAAAAACATGGTTGGTCTGAAAACTCCTCCCACCATTCCTGAAATCATGAGTAATGTGTCATCGGCAAAACAAAGTAGGTGTTTACAATATTTGAAGAGACAACGATCGGAGCAAGTTCACATACGTTTTCTTTCCAAACCTGGGGTTGGAAACACATTTTTAGATTTCCCTTAGATCGACTTTCTGTATTCTTTAACCCGTCTCATGCGTAAATTTACTGTATACATTTCCATATGACAACATTACAATGTATGTAACCAATGGAGGCTAACTGAGATCACCATGTAGTGGGGTTTCGAGCATAATAAAAATTATAGACAGGCTCGGATATACAAACATAAGGTTTGGGAAAGATATATGTTGGCATCAAACGCTTTTTATAAGAGGTCTCTTTGGATAGCTGTTACCTTGATACAGTGGTCAGGCTTCTCTATCGTGGTTATCTGATTGAACTATGTTGGCTGGGACATATTCCTTTAAGTCCTACTGTTATATCCGAACGATGAATAAATGAATGGTAACTGTCGAGAATTATTTATGGACTAGTATTACATATATTTCTGTTGGATAACTATTAAGTAACTAGATTATATGTATATTCATATTCCTTTTATCATTAGCTTTCATTTGACCTACTGACTATTATACGATTTACCATTCTTAAGTTATTTCCAATCTATTAGTTACAGTCTCTTTCACTCACAACCACTTTTGGCTTGATCTTGTGTAATTGTTATTTTTTATTTCATGGTGTGATGCGGTCTGATTTGCTTGTATATGAACTGCGTATGTCTGAAATACACTATACATATAGTGGAAGTTGAGATTGTGTTCTGGACTCAATGGGGAGGGCTAGTTGAGAAGAACCAATAAGGCATGCCCCCCAAATTCTCTGCTACAACCGAGAGTGGGGAGAATCAGCTCTCCCTCTCGAAATGCTCTCAAGTGACCACGTGCATACAACCACTGCCAGGGAAGTCCTACTCACTGCGGGGCTGTTGTTCACAAAATTGAGAGGACGAAAAGCGAATGTCCGGCGCTTTAACCGGGTTGGTGTACACGGAAAGTTCACCTAGGGGAGTTGGAAAACCCTAATTCCAAACAAATGGTGCACATGGGCTCCAGTACCCTGAGGGAACAAATGGCGTATGAACCAATCGTTGGTCACCGGCTACCATGGGACTGCATCTCCTTAAGATGCTCCACTGTCTTGTGGACTAGACCTTTAGGTCAAAGGCTCTAGGTGTGGCCCCCTAAGAAAACCACCTGTTTCAGTTTGGGCACCTGGTCAGTATCACAACCCTCACACAAATCAAATGAAATTTGTGCGGCACATATATATCTGGTGCTTCCTTGTACCAATATTTATGTTTAAATAAATAAATAATAAAGGGTTGGAATAAGTTGGAAGAAGGTTACTAGTGGTCAAGCCGGAACTTGATATCACTTCATGAAGTCACTGACTATTGGGATGAACCGTGTTGACACGTGTAGACTGTCTGTTCTGGGTTCGCGTGATTATCCTGACCAACCGTTAGAGAAACTGGGTAGTGTGGACCGGAGTCGGTCTCAGTGGTGTTAATACATCCACTCTTTGTTGACTTAGAATACTCAGATGGTGTAGTTCTGTTTGGTGGAGAAAAAATGTAGTCTTCTAACGACCTTAGGCAACAATGCATGGATGTTTGGGATGAAATTCTCTCCTTCCAAATGCAAAATGTTGCTTCAGGTTGGCCTGGGTCAGCACCTAGATTAATAATAGAGAATGAAGCAGTATCGACCACTTCACTTATCTTGGGAGTATCATCAGTTCCGATGGGCTGGGGTCTGACGAAATCTTCGTAGGGGTTTAGAAAAATCGAATGGATTTCGCCAAATTACATCATCTGTAGCGTAGGCGAGATATCCGTCTATCAACCAAAAGAAGAGTTTACTGTTCAGCAGTCTGCTCCGTTCTGTCTTATGGATCTGAAATATGGTCTCTAAGAATAGATAATATTCGTGGGTTACTACTATTCGATCATAGATATCTTCAAAGCATTGGGTTAAAAATTGGGTACTAGGTAATGATAGGAAATCGACTGATGAGGTAGTAAATCATCTGAGGTGTTTGCAACCTGTATGCAACATGTATGGTCAACCACCTACCTTGACAGATGTTCTTCGGTGAGTAAGTAGGTTGAAAGAAAGCTAAGGGCGACCAAATCAAAACACGACGCCAGTCTATGGAGTCATTGACAATTGGCCTGAACCATGTTAATGAGTGTAGACTTTCTGGTTGGGGTTTGCATAATTATCATTACCAGTAGTTAGAGGCTTTGAATGACCTGGCTCAAAATCGTTTGCAGTAGCACAGGTGTATCCATTCTTTGTATTCCCACAAATTCTAAGCTTCTGAATTCCTTGTGACTTTTTATTTTAATGATCTATATTTTTTTGAATTGTGTCTTTGATGCCTAATCTTTTCAATTACCAATAACTTTGTTACTGACTCTACTACTCTGGGATTTGCCATAACAGTCTCATAGCTCTGTGATAATGAGGTGTGGTAACTTGATTCAATGTATATCTGTATCAGGTTTTAAGTTACGACTGATTAACTTTGTTCGTCCCTAGATTTTGATTTTAAAAGCTATTCTATATTTTTTCTCTGCCGGTATACTATCAGAACTTGGATCGACCAACGTTTTTGACGTACTTTGTATTGGTTATTACCTGCGTATACACCAATTTCGAAGCTATATTTTTAGTCCTAGTCACTCTACTCGATTTGTATTGGCTGCATCGATTAAGTGATCGTTAAACCGTCTCCTAATGAAATTGACCAAGTTATGTCACAGTACTAAGGTGGTGGTTGGAGGTAGTACTTTAAACTCTTCCATTAAGCTACCATAGTTTTGAATGAGCCCACAAAATCCTATATATATTTGTAGAAGTAAAGAGGTCCCTTCTCAATCAGTAGGTATACATGGAACTTTGTGTTGTTTCATCGTAAAGCCGTTAGATTTATCTCGTTTTTTGTGTAGTAGTAGTAGTAGTAGTAGTAGTAGTAGTAGTAGTAGTAGTAGTAGTAGTAGTAGTAGTAGTAGTAGTAATAGTAGTAGTAGTAGTAGTGGTAATAGTAGTAGTAGTAGTAGTCAGTTAATTGATTAGTTTGTTTCGATTCCTCATAAACTTCTGATCATGTTCATTATGAATGGGGTCGTTTAGTAACTAATTATCCATCTTTTGTTTCTATCTATGGTTTGGTTGATCTATTCACACTTTCGTTAATAACATTTCAGACTTCGGATTCGCCCAATGCATTAAAGAGACAGCTAAAAGGAATGAAGTTCGTGGCACATTATTGTATATGGCACCTGAAATATTCTGTGAGGGTTTTTATCATCCTTCATGTGATCTGTGGTCTATTGGCATTATTTTATATGGTGAGTTAAATGATACTTTTAGATTATTTCGACAATATGGGATCATTATGACTGTAGGTTCTCACTATAGTGTGGTCAATCTTAGCTACTAGGTTAGTGAGTTTTTTTCACAAGTTTCGTAGTTTTATATCACGGGTTGGGTTTTGTTAGATTACCATTAAAAATCGATGGAACACTGGACAGCTATTTAGTCATGTTATGGGACTCCTCAGCAATGTACCTTAGCAGCCCCACCAGGGTTCGAACTCCACGACCTTCTGACCATTAATTTGGCATTAAGGGATTTACATTTCTAACTACAATTGATCCTCAATATTGCACGACCATCACAAATGGCTAACAACCATCTATCTCGATGGGTAATACTGAAAATAGTAATGAGATAAATTAGACAAGTCGACTTAGTACAGTTCACTTACTTAGTATATTTTCTTGTACTCAACTTTCAGTCACCCCTAACCGAAGTAAGCAAAGTTCGGAGAGCTCAAATTGCTGAACCACCACTCAAGTTAATTGATCTAGAAAACAATAAATCATGTAGATAAATATCTAACTAAGAAGTGTGAAGGAGTCTAGCCTTTTGGTATTTTGTGCTAAGCACTATACAGTTTGTTGTCTGACGGTGGTCAGTGTTATTTCATACATAGGCTAAACTCAACTAATGTTAGACACTCATCATCAAAATAAAGCCTGGAACGGATATGTATCGGTTCATGTTGCTACACTCCACATTACAGAGGGAGAAAATTTAAATGACGAAGATCATTGAATGGAAAATAATATCTATAGCAATTTAAATTTGAAAGTAAGGGATGTGATTCAAGAGGAATTGACGTGATTGGAGAGTGTAAATTTAGGAATGATACTTAACTCGAGATCTGTAGGAAGTTGGGTATTGTATATAGAGAAGTGCTCACGAAAGGACCTCACCATCCTGATGGGAGATCTAAATGCTAAAGTTGGAGTGGACAACACAGGATATGAAGATATAATTGGACGACATGAACTAGGAGAGAGAAATGAAAATGGGGAGAGACTTGCAAATCTATGTGCATTCAACAAACTGGTTATAGGCGGCACAATATTCCCACACAAGCGCATACACAAAGCTGCATGGATCTCACCGGACCACACCACAGAGAACCAGATAGACCACATCTGTATCAACAAAAAATTCCGAAGAACAATGGAAGATGTGAGAACCCGGAGAGGAGATGACATAGCTTCAGATCACCACCTGGTTGTGGCCAAGATGAGACTGAAGCTAAAGAAAGATTGGACAACTGGACAAACAGCACTACAAAGGTTCAATACAGCCTTCCTTCGAGATACTAACAAGCTCAACGAATTCAAGATAGCACTCAACAACAGGTTCCAAGCTTTACAGGATCTACTGAAAGAACGAGAAACTACTTTGGAGGACAACTGGAAAGGGATAAAAGAAACACTAACTTCAACGTGTCAGGAGGTTCTTGGTTCTAAGAAGCATCATCATAAGGAATGGATCTCTATGGGAACCCTGGACAAGATTCAAGAATGGAAGAACTAGAAACTAGCAATTATCAACAGCCGAACACGAGCAGAGAAAGTCAAAGCACAAGCAGACTACGCAGAAGCAAACAAGGAAGTGAAGAAAAGCATTAAGGCCGACAAACAGAAATACATGGGAGAACTAGCAACGACGTAGGAAAAAGCTGTCAGAGAATGGAATATGAGACAACTATATGATACAACGAAGAAATTGGCAGGAAGATATAGCAAACCAGAGAGACCAGTCAAGGACAAAGAAAGAAAGACAATCACTGAGATTCAAGAACAGAGGAAAAGGTGGGCAGAATACTTCGAGGAACTGCTGAATAGACCAGCCCCATTGAATCCACCGAACATCGAAGCAGCACACACTGACCTTCCTATAGACGTCACTCCACCAACGATCGAAGAAGTCAAGATGGCCATCAGACAGATCAAAAGTGGGAAGGCGGCAGCACCTGACAATATACCAGCAGAAGCACTGAAGTCAGACATTGAATTAACTGCAAACATGCTTCACCTTCTATTCAAGAAGATTTGGGAAGAGGAACAAGTGTCAATGGACTGGAAAGAAGGATACCTCATCAATATACCAAAGAAAGGAGATCTGAGCAAATGTGAGAATTACAGAGGCATCAGTTTGTTATCAGTACCAGGAAAAGTTTTCAACAGAGTGCTGCTGAATCGGATGAAAGACGCAGTAGACGCCCAACTTCGAGACCTACAGGCTGGATTCCATAAGGATAGGTCGTGCACAGACCAGATTGCGACACTACGGATCATCGTTGAACAGTCAGTCGAGTGGAACTCATCATTATACGTCAACTTCATTGAATATGAGAAGGCGCTTGACAGCGTGGACAGGAGAACATTATGGAAACTTCTTTGACACTATGGAGTTCCTGAAAAGATTGTCAACATTATCCAAAACTCATACGATGGACTACAGTGCAAAGTCGTGCATGGAGGACAACTGACAGATGCATTTTCAGTAAGGACCGGAGTCAGACAAGGCTGTCTACTCTCCCCATTCCTCTTCCTTCTGATGATTGACTGGATTATGAAGAATTCGACATCTGAGGGGAAATACGGAATACAATGAACTTCTCAGGATCAATTAGATGATTTGGACTTCGCAGATGACCTAGCCCTCCTCTCTCATACACACGAACAAATGCAGATGAAGACAGCAAATGTAGCAGCAGCCTCTGCATCGATAGGCCTGCACATTCACAAAGAAAAAGCAAGATCCTCAAATACAACACTGAGAACACCAACCCAATCACACTTGATGGCGAAACTCTGGAACAGGTGGAAACATTCACATACCTGGGAAGCATCGTTGATAAACAAGGAGGATCGGATGCAGATGTAAAGGCGAGGATTGGCAAAGCAAGGGCAGCATTTCTACAATTGAAGAACATATGGAACTCAAAACAACTGTCAACTAATTTCAAAGTCAGAATCTTCAATACGAACGTCAAGACAGTCAGTTTTACTGTAAGGAGCTGAAACGTGGAGAACTACTACGACCATCATCAGGAAGGTACAAGTATTTATAAATAGTTGTCTATGCAAAATACTCAACATTCATTGGCCGGATACTATCAGCAACAGCGTTTTATGGGAGAGGACAAACCAGCTTCCAGCTGAAGAGGAAATAAGGAAAAGACGTTGGAAGTGGATCGGACATACATTAAGGAAATCACCAATGTGCATTACAAGGCAATCCCTAACTTGGAATCCAGAAGGAAAGCGGAAAAGAGGAAGGCCAAAGAACACATTACGCCGGGAAATAGAAGCAGATATGAAAAGGATGAATAGCAACTGAAAAGGAAGGCTCAGGACAGAGTTAGATGGAGAATGCTGGTGTGTGGCCTATGCTCCTCCAGGAGGGGCAACAGGCGTAAGTAAGTAAGTAAGTATTGTATATAACTGTATCGCTGACTGATTTTACTCCTTTCTCACAAATCGTTTAAAAAAACTGAATAGAAGTACTGCGTGGGTCTCAAATAAAAGATCTACAACTACTGACGGGGTTGAGACCAGCGATCAATGACTTCCTGGATTGGTTCACCATCTTAATTCGTTCACTCCTATATTTCTTCTGACCTATTTCTATGACAGGGAATGTTGCATATTGGGCTAGGTGGTGTATTAGGGTATGTACCACATATTCTAACCATTCCAGACGATGAAGGTTTTTAGCTTTACCAATGAATTAGTTTTTCTATTATCTTAGCTCCAGCATTGCTCACTTGGTGGTCCCACTATATGCTTCAAAGACACCTATTTTCTAATGCTTTGAAAGGTACTTTTCCCATCCATAAAGCAAAACGGGACTAATTTCTACTCATTATGCTTGGATCGTTCGTTACCAGGTGAGCATTTCTTCCACTGCACAGGTGATATAAACTTGTAAAAGTAAAGTGAGCTATTGAATGTGTACCGAGACTTTGTTAGACATCAACCCACCAGGGTTAATGTGGGTTCAATGGAACAAACTATTTCGCTCCCTATGATCGACTAAAGTATTGATTCACAGAAGTCCTGGATCAACATTTCATACTTATAAGGAAGTGAAACACGCTCCAAGGATGGATTTAATCGATATCTCCATAAAATATAATTACGTCATTTCGGTAGCTTTGATCACACACCTATTTCTTTGATGTATCCTTTCAAACTATTGTTCCTACCATGGTATCCAGTTATTCTTGGAAAATTATCATTCAGCTGTTTTGCAAGTATGCTCATCATAATTCAGCTAAATAATTTAAAGGTATCTTCCAGTAAATTCAGCTTGAGAACCATTAAACTAAATAAAGTCTCAATGTAGCTATACTATGAGGGAAAGTCAGTTAGGAATGTTAAGGATGACCTTGGAGTTCTGAAACCACTTTTCAACCAATAAAGAGAGTCTGTAAGAATGAATTTCTTGCTAGAGTGGTAACGGAGTCTGTAAGAGTATGGTAGTTTTAGGAAGCCTAACAATTTTTCAAGGTTTGCTATCAGTTTCTCGATATTTTGCTTGAAGAAAAATTGGTTCATAATCTCACTCATTTAACTTCCAGCAGGTTTTTCTTCGGATCTCTTTCATCACTATGAATAGTACTGTCGACTCCGAAATCTTTACTATAAGATCCATTGAGTTTAGCGAAATTAAGTTATACGACAACTATTTGAGGACGTCATGTACAGAAATCGTGATATATTTTAGCATTCCCACTTCACCAGTTTACCTCTTACTGAGTTGGCCACTAATAAAGTAGTTTGGTTGAAAGCTGACACTGTAAAAAAGATTCTGAAATAAAAATTCGTTGATTTATGTGTTTGATATTACGGATTGATTGAGATATTTTTCTCTCTGCACCTGGTATTACCACAATACGATAATAGGAATATATGGTAATAAGGCTGATCTAGGTGATTGAATTTGAAATATTTATAGATTGAATGCTCGGACGATGCGCTACACTTATACCAAGTCACGTTATATCGGATATCCGATTCATGACCAAGAAAGCAGAACCAGAGTAACGCTAGATGATACTTTATTCCGCACAATTACAAGCAGTCACTTTCAGTGAGTCTATAGTAGAAATCAATAAGAATGGAAATCACATATTTAATGATCAGTAAGTTGAGTTCCTGTTTGTCCACACTCAGTAACCAATCACATTTACTTTGACTGGCATACAGCGTCAGTAGTATGTATTTGTTGTATTTTTCCTGGAATCCTTTCATAGAATCTTTGCATAATCTCGTTTACTACTACTACTTCGGAATTCGTCTTGATAGTTTTGTTTTGCTCTGTGAGAATTTGAAATAATGCATTTTTGTGCGGGGTTTAACTTTGCATATATGATTGACTGTCTGCCTGACTTAATGAGTTGTAAAGAAAAGTTGTTTAATTTTGTTCCATTTTATATTTGTCCGTATTTTTTTAGGTTATGTATTCGATATCGGTTAAGATTTTTAGGTTATCAGTTAAATGTTGTAAAGTCCAGTGGAAGCTGATAGCGAAATTCTGCTCTGAGAACCCAATATAGTGAAAGTTATTTATACAATACCAAAACTCCAACTGCCCTGTAGTATCATGTTTCCCATACAGGTATTCAGATCAAGGCTTGACTATTACAATTTTTTAAAATTATTTTTAGGGCAACCAACGATAAGAACAAAAGTTATGTCGAACACGTTGCTTTTCAGTGGAAAAAGGAAAGTTATTAGTTCATCAGCTGATATTACATCCCGCAGAAACTGATCTATTCAACTCAAATGAAATAATTTCTTTATCTTTAATTTTTGTTCTAAACAGTTATACTTTTTTCATATTGAGTTTTTTATTTCCTTCCAATAAAATAGAATGCCTATTTGGTACTACTCCCTACGGTCAAATAACAATTGAACAATTAAAAGAGAAATTAGTGACAATGAATGAACCAATTAAGGTAGTTTATATTGATTATTAGATTTTTTCGATGAGTGTTTTTGTTTTTCGGAAAAAAAGTTCTACTTACTTTTGTGTCAACAGCATGAATTATATCAAAATGGTGTAGTTCAATGAAAATGTTAACTCATATATAGTTTTGTCGGGGTGTTTTTGGAGTAAAATATTACTTTATTTAGTTATCGTACTTCGTTACCATTCAACTTTGGTATAAGTTTATTGTCATTGTATAATATATCTATTTAGATCTGTAGAAATTTGTACTTAGCTTCAAATATGTTCTGATTTATAGGGTTAAGTGGTGTTGTATCTTTTGTATGTTAGCTTTTTAATAAAATTGGGTACACTAGTTTATGTTCTTAGCATGTTGTACCTCTTCATATTGTTACATGTATATTATCCTTCTATTCAGTGTTATTGATTGCAGTGCATTCGTATCATTGTCCGCTGTAAGTAGTGCAGTAAAACCTGTTTTTTATATTTGTACTTAATTAACAAGTACGTTATTGATTATTCCGTCATTTCAAGTGTCAGATTCAAACCTCGCCTCACTTAGTTCCTTCACACTGGTGAAAAGTAGAGGGTGGGAAATAATATTGACTGTAGCAAAAAGTTAAACACATTAAATGCAGTTCGGAATAAAGATCAAAAGATAATAAGTTTGGAATAATGCTAGGACGTTGATAGAAAAAAGGACTACTAGGAAAAGGTTTAGGCCACGTCATCAAAAGCCACCAACAATTCGAATGTTCATTTTCCATGTAATTGTTTATATAACAGTCTTCTGATAATATGATTGATATAATTCATTAATTATTTTATGAACGATGCCTTAATTTGAGAGCATATTGAGATTAAGCGAACTTAATCCTAGTCTTCAGTGTGAGCCATCGTCAACCTATACGATTGGAATGAAATTGATTGTCTGTAAAAACTATTCAAAAACCCCCTGAAAATCGGTGATAGGAGTAGTAAGCAAATAAAATTAGGAAGTACATACATATTTTATATAATCATTAAGTACTTTAACGTTTGGTAAAAGTTCATCTGTCCCAAAATCGAAGTTTTTTCTGTATGCGAACTCTTCCATGCTGCTCAAACAATTGTATTATGTGGGTCTTTTTATTGGTGTAAATAAGTGTTTTTGGTGAACACTTCTGTTATAAGGTCTACGAAATGATGTCTACCAACCACAACCTCGCAGTGGTATTCAAATCTACAATGGCATTTGCATGGTTTCCGGTCTTATGTGTACACAGTTGTTACGGGTTTAACACGCTCCTTGATATTATGAATAAAGTTAGATTCTCATAATAGCCTTCTCAAAGAGTACTATACCATATTCCGAAAAATGACTGTCGTATGAGAAATGAAGTACTCAAATATTCTATTTTGTATCCCTCTCATTCCTATTTGTCTTTACACTCTGACCATCACTTCACATCCACTAACAAATAATATCGCCTTTCTAGGCAATCGAACATTTCGAAAGTACCTAATTTTATTGTCCTCATCGAAACCAGCTAAACTTCGGTTTATAGTCTACATCCTCTTTATTCATACTCCTAAATAGCAAGATAGTTATGTCAAGCCCGGTTAGTTCATCCTATAGTATCGGTTCATCGAATTCATTAAGTCTGTTATATCAGTTAGAAATATGTATGGCTAAGAGTAGAGAATACCTTATCAATTGGCGTAGTCATTTTGGTGTCAGTTTTAAATTATGATGTCATTAAAGTGTTTTCAACGAGGATTTTATGCGACGCTACCGTGTGATGGACAGAAAAAAAGATCACTCCTAAAGATATCACCTAATTGCCCCATTGATTCCTGTTGCTTGTAGTAAAGTTCAAAGAGTATAAAATAACCTCTATAAAACCAAAAACAATTATATTCATGGAAGGTTGGATATTAATGCTCCTGATGTTTTTTTAAGTTGCTCGGATTTTTTCATCTTGGAAGTGTTGTTTTCTAACGATTATAGTGTATCCGTTCTTATTGCCTGTAAAATTTTAAGTTGAGTATTTTTATATGGATGTTTTCTAAGAGTTTGAAAAGCAATAGATTCTGTGTGCAATTATTCATAAAAAATTTCGTTGTTTGTACAACAATAAATTATTATTCTTCTTAGAGGATTTTTAAGCATTCAATGTTTAACCACCGTCAATCCACCTATTTCTTTGTATATTTACAGTTACCTTCTACAAATGAAGTAAGCAAACCATGTGCTGCACTATTACATGGTTTATTAAAACGGGACCCTTCTGAACGATTAAATCATGAACAGTTTTTTTCACATCCATTCATTGATTTAGATCATGCACCATCAGCACAAAGTCTCGACAAAGCTGTAAGTTCAGTTATACCACTGTTATTATTAGTTAAATAATTCTCCAGGTGGATTCGTATCGGTTCTCTTTTTCTTTGATTGTTATTCTCTCTATATGAACATTTGTTTCTAATGTATTCATATCAGCTAAACTGTAATTGGATGGCTAGAAGTCACTAGATTGGTCAGTCAGATGCAACGTAAACGCTGGCGCATGTGTACATTGGTTCAAATTGTCACATTAAAACAACAGGGTGAAATTGTCAGGGCAATTCCCAGAGTTGTAGAGGTAATAACAGTATTAATGATAATCTAAGGGATTAGGTGCCTCAGATACAATTCGAGAAAATATGAATTAGCGAAATAATTTTGAAAAAAATTATGGTGAATTTAAGAAAATTAAGATTTGAGGGAAGACAGAGTAAGTGCACCTGTGGCGTTGCAGACTATTTTGAGACATGTCAACCGTAGTCTCTAACCGTCGGTTACGATAATCACGCGGACCTCGAGAAGTTATCGTGCACGTACTTAAATTGTTCAGTTCAATATTCAGTCTTCATGCGCTAAAGCTATATCTTGATCTGGTCATTCCTAAAGTTCTTCCAACTTCCCCTACATCAGCCATCAGCACACGTAATAAATGTCCTAACGATCTCGGTCGATAAAGTTTCACTAGCTCGTCAATTAACTTTCTATATTTACCTAGTACTCTGCGTTTAACCTCGAAGTTATTAACTTAATAGTTCCAAAATATACGAGCAATGGTTCGAAAACACATGGATTATAGATTATCAGCTCATTGTTATGCAATCAGCGAACGGAAGGAATTTCATACCATAATCCTCTTGTTTTCTACCTTCCTTGTCATTTTGATAATAAAGTCAAAATATTCTAGATTATTCAAACGATGTGTTCCCTTCATTTTTACTTAGATCAGTCAAGTTCAAAGTCACGAATTACCTGGTAATTCACATTATATCAGTTTTTAGTGCAGGTTATTCACTGGAAGACAATGTTCTAGTTATTTATTTAATAATTTGTGTAATATGACACTTTGCTCATTATGTTCAGTGAAATTATGGCGTACATCATTATTTATAAGAAAAAATCAATTATCATTGTGAAGGATGATGACTAGTTCTTTGTAATTCATTGTTTTCTTGTCAAAGATTTGATTTCATTCTAGTTTATTGTTGAGTATTTATATCATTCAAAATATGCACAATGAATAATTTTGTTTTTGTAAAATCATTCTTATTATGGTTTTTGCTTTTTTTTCACCTCTTTAACAGGCTGAATATCTTGAACGTGCGCCTCAATTAGAATCATTGGGGAAATTGTGTGAAGCCTATGATTGTTATCTTGAAGGTTTAAATCACTTAATGGCTGCATATAATTGTAAGCTTGAGTGTTTACTTTCTTCATAAATAACTCTTATTTGCATATTATTAGTTCCTGTAGTCGTTTATCTTTCTTTTGGAAGAAGAAATACTCATTAAGATTAAATGTTAAATTGATTTGATAACATTTTTTTATTGAGTGATTCCTTAAGTTTTTATTTTCAAAGTGATATCAACTGTATGGTTTTTATGATTTTCTTTTTCCCACTTCAACAATCAAAATAACATCATATTTCTTGCAGTTTATTGAATGAGACAAGAAATCCAATTCTATGTATACATACTGTTAAGTCTGGTAAATATCTGTGATTTGTTACAAACCCTTTGTACAGTGGGTTTAGAACTGATATGTTGTCAGTTGCTAGGTTACATGTTAAATATGATTTTGAATATTTTCATTTATTGTCATTAATTTGGATCATATCATGTAAATCAGGCAACCTTGTAAATTCATTCTGCTCTATCTAGTTATTCACAAAGGGAGGAGATTTAAGTTTAATCATCGTTTTAATATATGTGTGTATATTATAAGTCATGGCAGAAGTGTTTTTCGAGTCATTCAAGCTCAATAAAAACTTAATTATTAAGTTGTAGTTTATAGTGAATTTATTCATTAATCCGATATATCCTATGAAAAACTGGAAGAAATAAAGCAGTTTGAAAAACGTATATATATATATATGTATATATATATATATATATATTTCGTCGATCAAGTTGCACTCACACAGATAGCATCACTCCCCATCAAGACTACGAATATAGTTTTTTGACAAGTGTCGACTACCTTTAACTACATAACAGATAGGTGTATCATTAATCACTTATTTTAGGATACTCGCGACGAGATAGTGTACATTAATCATCCCAGTGACTTCACTAAGGGGTCCTTAAAACTCACCATCCCCACTCACTTAAATTAAAAATAAATATATATTATACTGTTGGTCAGTTTGATGAAATTTGTATAAATCCTCATTTGTTTTATATTTCTCTCGACGAATAAAAAGAATGACCAGTTTCCACAAACTTATTTGTTCGATCCATAAATCTCATTAAATTTATACTTGCTTGGTTAATAGATTTGATTGGGCGGATTGGGGAATTTATGAATATTTGTTTTATTTAAGAGTACTGACCAAATTCTACGCAGTCAAAGACAACATTTAATTTATTATGCATTAAACCAGCACATTTCGAGAGATGGGAAAACAACCAAATCTGAAGTAGTGAACTGGAAATTATAACATCTACAATAAGAGTACATGACAAATGTGTATCGGAAGGAAAAAAGGAGACTTCGGTATGCGAAATATAAAACTACCCTAAACTCGAGACTTAGAGAAAGATCGAGAGTGGGCTACTTATCAACCTAGTTTTTCTTTCGGTAGTATAGAAAATGTACTTGTTAAATTCATGTGGTTTAACAATAGAGACTTAGTTACTTAACATAGTTTCAGTTTGGTATAATAAAATGCATTCGACAGATAGTCACTGTAGTGTTTTCTTTGTTTTACTATAGATGAGCGATTGCGCTTCAAGAAATCGCAAATACGAAAGCTGGTTAGTGCATTTTTGGTGAAAAGTATTTTGTCGTTTTTTCAACAGTAATAACATTAATAGCAAATTTGTGACTGAATTTTCACACTGATGACGATACTTTATGTCTATTTAATAAGTCTTTTGTATAATTTTTTGTAATACATCTTATTTCTAATAGTCGACCTCGTGGGACATTCAAATCTCAATGTATGCTCAGTTATTGGGTTTATGTAAATTATACATTTGACGGCAGTGTTTATTTTAGGTGTTATACATGTAATTGTGAGGTTGTAGTCTAATGGTTTAAGAACATCTTCCAACGAAGTGAGTGATAAACTTTATCCGACTAACCCTTAATCAGTATAGCTCACAACTTTTAGCTTACATTTACTCCTGGCTGTTGAGCTGTATTATTTATTCAGTAGTATATACTTCCAAAGTTATTTATTCTGTATTGAAAACTGTTTAGCTCTTAATCACTTTGCAACAGAATTGTTTTCACCCACCTGATAATCAGATTCATCCGAGATGAATTTCTTAAAGTTCTGGTAGAAGTCAACGAATTCGTGAGTTAGGCAGTTGATGAGCCGTGTTTTGTTGCATATTCTGTAGGTTATGTATTAAAAATTATTCTACAAAAACAAGATTTGAGAGCTTCATTCTTTTCATCAGTCATTTACTAACTATAATTTCAGATAAAAGATCATTTACTAAAAACGGAATCGCTGAAATTGGAATTATGTCTACTTAGTCACACAGATGTGACTTCATCGTCGTCACCCCAATCAGAGCCAAAAACTCTTAACAGCCAAGCAGTTAATTTACCTGATCCTATTGTTCCAATGAAATGTGAGTAAAATTTCAAATTTGGATAAATTTAATTATTGTACTTGTTTGCATGGATAAAAGAAATTTGATAAAGATGTAGACCGATGAACGGATGAATTGGATGCTTTTGGTTGGAAATGTATTGAGAAGCTTGAAAAGAAAGCTGAATTAGTAAGCATTAAGTGTCTTGTCAATCTTATCTTGGTTGAATGGAAATTAACAGAAGTAAGTACAAAAAGGTTTTAATACCATTTATAGTATCAGAAAAATAAACATTGAAAATGTAGTCTGAAAAAACGAATAAAATCGACACATTAAAAGTATAAGATAATATGGAAATTCGGGCTTTAGAAGAGGATAGCGAGTGAATACATCTACTCTGTGAACCAATTTTCAGACGTGATGTGTATAGTCTTGTATAGTTGATTATGTCTACCTCACTAATCCCAAACATTAAGGTAAAACCTTCCATCTCTCCTTAACCCAGTTAGTGACTTTGCGGTGTATGCTACTTATGTCTGTCGGCGTAAGTAGTATATAACACTGATCAGAAAAGGAATGACTGTCAAAAGAGAGTTGAGGAAATTGAAAACAGAAAAGATTTGAGGATTAGAAGAACGATGAAGGATGTAAAAGACAATTGATGGAAGATTTGCAAATGAAGTATTTAATGTATGGTTGTCACATTTTACCAAAGAACTCTGTAATTTTACGTTAAACAACATAAATTGATTGTCCTCATCTGAGTGTTCGTTCACTACAACTTCATTTGATATTTTTGTTTAGTCGCTCTCAGGTCTTTTCAAAACTGTTCTTGTGATAGTCAGCTTTGTTTGTTGAAATAGTCAGTGGCTGGACATAGACAACGCTTTTCTCTACCATCTAAGTCGATAAAGCTTCAAATCCTCATCAGTCGATTTACCATTTAAACATTTACTAAGCTGTTGTTCTAATGTGCTGTTGTAAGACATCTATAGGCACACACTAACTACAAACGTTTTTTTCTACTTTTCAATGCTGTTTCACTCAATTTAACGTTTCTAATTTTCTTTCACATGTTTTTAAAAATATTTTCATGTATGCATGTACTTTTCGTCACTACATTGATCTTAGGTTATAATGTATCAGAACAGCCTAAAAATAATACGGATTCATCAAAGAAAGGCCTATTTCATCATCTACCAAACGAAAAAGATGATTATCAATCTTCATTGAAAAGCAAGTCATTACCTACTTCCGAAACATATCAACTACAAGATTCAGATACAAGTGATAACTTTACATATTTTAGGGGAGACTGTTTGTCGACAGATTCAATTGACAAAATTAATAATTGTTTATCCTCAGATAAATCTGGTATCCTTAATCGTATTAAGCATTGGTTTTCGCGACAGAATGCTAATATTAAAAATCCTTGTGAATTCAGTGGAAATGCTAGTAAGTCAAATACATATTGGTTTCATATTCAATGAAATCACACAATTGTATTCATGTCTGTGTATGCTAACAATGGTCCTGACTAATCTTAACAAATTTTGAACAAAAAATTGTTTGTTTTAAAATTCTTGTCAATTTGTGTCATTTATTCGGTATTACTTATTGTGAGATAGCTTTTTAGGAGTTTTTATTTAGGGGACCACACCCGGAACCTTCGAACTAAAGATCTAATCCACAAGGAAGTGGAGCAACGTTAGGAGATGCAGTCCTATGGTAGCCAGCCCCCAAATACCCTGGTACCGCCGAGAGTGGGTAGAGTTCGCTCTCCCTCTCGAAATGCTCTCACATAGCCACGCGTATATAGTCTCTGCTAGAGAATTCCTACTCACTGCCTTCTCGTGGTGGGGGTGTTGTTTACGAAATTGAGAGGACGAGAAGCGAATGTCCAGCACTTTAACCGGGTTGGTGTACACGGAAAGTTCACCTAGGGGAGTTTGAAAACCTTAATTCCAAACCAATGGTGCACATGGGCTCCAGTATCCTGAAGGAACAAATGGCGTATGAATCAATCGTTGGTGACCGGCTACTATGAGACTGCATCTCCTCACGATGTTCTACTGCCTTGTGGATCAGACCTTTAGGTCAAAGGCTTCGGGTGTGGTCCCCTTAGAAAACCACCTGTTTCAGTTTAGGCACCTGGTCAGTATCACAACCCTCACACAAATCAAATGAGATTTGTGTGGCACAGATATATCTGGTGCTTCCTTGTATCAATATTTATGCGTTTAAATAATAATAAAAGTGACCAACGATTGGTTCATACTCCATTTTTTCCTTAACGGTACTGGAGTCCATGTTCACCATTGGTTTGGTATGGTGGTTTTCCAACTGCCCTAGGTAGACTCTCCGTGTACACTAACTTTGTTATAGCGCCGGATATTCGCTTTTCGTCCTCTCACTTTCGTGAACAACACCCCCACCATGAGAAGGCAGTGAGTAGGACTTCTGTGGCAGTGGTTGTATGCACGTTGCTCTTGAGAGCATTTTGAGAGGTAGAGCTGATTCTCCTTATTCTCAGTCGTACCAGGGCATTCGAAGGAGGAGTAATGAGAAAGCTAACCATTACTTCTTGATTAGTTTGATTGTAACATGTTTGACGTTAAGGCTTGAAGTTTACCAGTACGATATTAGTCAGAATCAATATTAGCTGCCTAATTGTTTTCAGCCGACAATTATTTCATCCTGTTTAAAATCATTTGAAAATATAATTCAATGTTATCTCGTTTACTATCCATTTATTCTTGAAAACTGTTTTAAGGAATACTTGAAAACTATTCATTCATATTGGTTAGTATTATTGTGATTCCATCTTTAAGTATGTTAAAATGTATGATGCACAAACTACATTGTGATGGGATAGCAAATTATTACAGGTTTACTAACTGTCTATCAGATAAGAAGAAAAAAGACGAAATTAACATATTTAAAAAGTGAATTAGATTTTTATGTATTCGTATTCAGTTTGTGTCTTATACTCAACTCAATTTATCCAAGTAAATAGTTGTGATACAATGGTAATGAAAATGGTACCATAAACAACAAGTCATAGTATTGTTTTTCATTCTGATTTTTTCTAGCATATTTACTACTTAAAATTGTAACAGGATTCTAACATATTACATTTATTAGTATATTTTAACATGTATCAAACGTTTCACTCGTTGAACATTCAACTAAATATTAATTTGCAGTGGGTAATTACATTCTAAAGTTTTCTTTTGCGTATATACTTTTTATCTGTTACTAGTGTTCAAAGTAATAATAGTAACAATAATAATAATAATAATAATGGTCAGACCATATGACTTAAACTTTCGCTGTTAAGCTTTAAAATGTGTTAATCACAATTTTATTTTGTTAAGTCTGACTATGTATAGATCAGAAAAAACACAAGCATTTTGTTGCTTATTCCCATTCTAGTTTATTCTAATTCTAAACTATTTCCATACAATTATTTTCAATAATAATACTGAATTTCATTTGTACTGCATTGATTTGTATGGATATGAGCAGAACGTGTGCCTACCGCTATATTGGTTGATGTGGATTGTGTAAATTCTACACAGTTACCATCGGAATCGCTTCACTCTACTCCTGTCCTTCCTTCATCTCCTAGTCCTTGTCCTAATTCAAAGAACACAACTGAACAAGAAGAACATTTAACTCATGATCATGCTGTTAATTCCTCTACAACCGAACCGACCATTAAATCAAGTGTAAAGACAGCTCCTTTGAATTCTCCAAACTTCAGAAATTCCCAATTAGAATCTGGACCGAATGTCGATTCGATGGATATGGTAGACGGTCTAACTGAGAAATTTGATGGTAGTCGACTTTTAGAACTGGGTGATTATATAATCCTAGTTTTCTTTCATCCTAATTACTATGCTTCCCTAAACACTATCATCTGTCAATTTTTTAAACACTTTTCTTTACACTGGATTTCCAATATATTGAGATAACATTATTATCGGTGATGCTAAAAAGATATCAAAATTGTCTAATTAGTGTTTATCAATATGTATATAGAGCAAAACTGCTCAATACTAAGTTTCTTCATAGTGTTTTTCATGTTTGGGTAGATAACTAAGTGAGAAATTTCATGGGTAAGCTGAGATTTATCGGCGAAGAGAGTAAATAAGTTTTTGATGGAGTTTTGTTCTCTGGGCTGAATGGTTTGGTCGTGGAGCTTTCATTGTTCTTCCGAACGACATCATCAGCACAAACGATGAAAGCTCCACGACCAAACTATCCACCTCAGAGAACAAAACTCCACAAAAAATCACCCACCTGAGCTACAAATCTTCTTCACCATCTCAGAGTAAATAAGTGTATAAACCTGCATTGACAGAGTTCACTGAGTCATATGTTATGCGTATAAAGTCACGATGTAACTCAAAGTGCACTACTGACGTGGAATTTGATCGATAAAAGTTTAGGAGTAATCAGGTTGGGACATGAAATAAGTCCAATAAATCATACACTACTGGTTTTAAATGTGTTAAGAGATAATCAGATTTCTCAGTTGACATCTTCGGATTAACAAAAATCAATGTCTGAATTCATTCTTCAACCCAATTTTATTGATTTTCTCTTCCTGTTCTATTACAAAGTGTGATAACCTGAAATTTCACTTCTGTACCAAGCCGTAGGCTAGCATGTCTGTCAGTCCAAATCTGGACGAAAACGAAAACTTGATGTATACAGTTTAAATCATCCACTTCTGTCGCAAACTATAAAGATTTCCAAGATTTTACCATTTAAATATTCTAATAAACTTATATTTTATCACGATATTTCTTTAACTGTTTAGTATCATGTTTGATTCTTATTATTGTTTCTTATTTTACCAGATAGCTCCAGCAATATTGTGGTTGAATTTTTGGACAAGTTTTATAAACTCGTATGTATAATTGGATATTTATCATTAGTTTTTAAATATATTTTTAATTTAAAAATAGTATAAATTTATGCTATTCTGTTTAAGTTACGTAGATTCTATCATCAGTATCATTGAAATGTTGTTCAAACGTTGCAGAACAACTGATAGTAGCCTGTGTTGATATCAGTGATAAGTTTGGCTGTAATAGGAGGCAGGAAGCATTAAAATAGTGACACTGTATTAATTAGATTAGTTGGATTGCGTATTACATTAACGCCTAATCACTGTCCATTAAAACATACAGTAGTGATCAAACCAAAGTTGAAAGAAACAAAGTATGATCTGATGCCAATTGTTAATCATAGTTATGTTTACGGGAAGTATACTCCTTTAGAATGATAAAAGTTCGAGTTTAGATAACCTAGTTCACATAAGCCTAAAACAGAACACAATAGTTCAAATGCATTCATTTTTAACTAAAATTTACACTAAAATTACTTCTAGTTTAGTCGTTGTGGTGTAAGTAATAGCCGATCATTAATAGGGATCAAATTGTGAAGAATTAACACTTATCTATTGAATGAATACCTCTAGTCAAACAATATGTTGTATATATATATATATATATATATATATATATATATATATATATGGGAGTACATGAAGTGGGAATAAAGGAAGATAAGTGACGTAGTATATAAAAAAATGATAGTAGTAATAATAAAAATGAGTGTTATCAAGTGAATGTGAATTGTCTGAATTCTAATTGAAGCGAGCCTAGTGTTTCGTGAAGTGATTGTCATCTTATTAGATTTGTGTGAGAACTGTGATACTGCCCGGGTGCCCAGACCGAAGCAGGTGGTTTCTTTAGAGGGCCACACTCCGAGCCTTAACCTAAAGGTCTGATCCACAAGGCAGTGGATCAACGTTAGGAGATGCAGTCTCATGGTAGCCGGTGACCAACATTAGGTTCATACTCCATTTGTTCCTTCACGGTATCGAAGCCCATCTTCACCATTGGTTTGGAATGGTGGTTTTCCAACTCCCCTAGGTAGACTCTCCGTGTACACCAACTTTGTTAAAGCGCCGGATATTCACTTTTCGTCCTTTCAAATTCGTAATATCAAGAATACATATGAATATTTGTAAATAGAACTCATAACAAATGGATGATTGACAACATTATAGATTACTGTATATTAGTAATTCATCTATATTGGTTGTTCGAATCTTCACATCAAGGTTTAGGACTGCAATCGTTCAGTCTCAAATAGGACGAAACATGCATCCCGGATTCCACTGCTAGATATCGTCATTCATCTCTCCTAATGAATATTAGTAAGAACTTAATATAATACAGAAAAAGAAATTAAGTCAAAAACCAGAATTCGCAGTTTGTATATTTATGTGCTTTTATTCATTAGAAGAATCTTAAGATTAATTAAAAATCTTTAGGAATAAATACATATCATTGAATCGTTTGATGATTTGTCTCTGCACATCAACGTTAAAAGGTGTTTACATAAAATTGTTAGTAAATACAGTTTATATATTTTTTCTAGATTTCCAAACATCGTTTACAAGAAGCACTGACTTACTTTCAAAACGAATTTTCATATTGTTTAAAAGAAGCTCAGAGTAAGCGAATTCCCTAGTTAAGATTTTCTATTAGTAACTTTATTTTGTAACAGTAAAATTATAAAACAATTCAGTGTTATTTGTATCCATTTTTAACATGTTTGAATATTGACTTACCATTACTATTATTATTATTATATTTGTTACTTTCACTAAGCTTATTTGGCTCCATCTTTAAACAGTGTTATAGTAGTGGTAACTGTCAATCAAGATTTATGACATTTCAAATGATTCATTCTTTTATGAGAGATAAGCTTTTCTAGATTTTATTAATGACATCAGTTAGTATTTATTGTTTAAATTAATTAATTATTTATTTTATTTGAACACATAAATTTTGGTACAAAGGGGCACCGAATACATATGCGCCACACAAGTCACTTAATTCTTGTGTGGGCTATGATACTGCCCGGATGCCCAGACCGAAGCAGGTGGTTTTCTTTGGGGGTCACGCCCGTAGCCTTCGACCTAAAGGTCTAATTCACAAGGCAGTGGATCAACGTTAGGAGATGCAGTCCCATGGTAGCCGGTGACCAACAATTAATTCATATGCCATTTGTTCCCTCAGGATACTGTCGCCCATGTTCACCAGTGATTTGGAATGGTGGTTTTCCAACTCCTCTAGGTGAACTCGCCATGTCTACCAACCCGATTAAAGCACCGGACATTCACTTTTGCCCTCTCGAATTCGTAAACAACACCCTTATCACGAGAAGGTAGTGAGTAGCACTTCCCCTTCAGTGTCTGTATTCGCGTGGCTACGTGAGAGCATTTCGATAGAAAGCGGACTCTCCCCACCCTCGACCGTATCAGGGCATTTAGGGGCTCTATTTGTAAGTTATATAATAAAACGCTCATAGTCGCTTTCCATTATGGACTGATATCAGCTAGATATTTACGGAAAACCAGAGAGCATTATATAGATGTTTATTCCTTGTTCGAGAATCGCAATTAATGTGTACGCCTACAATCCCATACATGACCTCATCCTAGTTCTTGTAGTCTCGTCACGAACACGGTGCCATTTAATTGCTGATTCTTAACACAATTCAACTTGTGATGTGCGTTCCTCACATTATATCATCTATCAGTTGCTACATCTTTCTCAACTTGGCTAACTTCGCAGGTTACAATTTTTTCCTAGAACCTCACCTATACCTAATTATCTTCAATACGTTCTATAAAAAATCTGACGAAGTAAGTGTTCGGGAACAACAATTCTTGTTATTCGAAATCAAGACTTTTCGATAACTCATCCCTGAACTCTGTCACTGATTATATTCTTGAAATAATTCTGAAGTTCATGATGTTTCCTTTAGGATCTTTGTATCCTGGAAAAGATCCTTGGGCCATGTTTTTCCACTGCGCAATAATAGTATTGTACACGAATTTTATGTAAAATAATAATGGGAATGTTTCAGGTGGGAAGAACAATGAAAAATTCCCTGTGTTAACTTGTATCTCTGTCTTATGGCTTCTCAAATGCTTCTACGTTCCATCAACCATGCTCTCAAAAACGCGCCAGCGAAAATCAACTAGACAACATTGTCCTTCATTTCATCATACTTAATCTATCATCAATTCTCATATGCAGTTCTTATATAAGGAAACCTCTTTGTTTTGAAGCTATTGTGTTTGGATGGTACAGAATACTTGTTAGGATTTCCAAGCATCAACCGTAAGTTGCCTAATTGTGACAGTTGGTTAGATTGTGCTGTCATACAGTAGTGACCAAAAGCACTTGTTCATAAGTAATATTATTATTACCATTATTCTAATGTAATTAATCACACGTTATTTGATCTTTCCTTTTTTCCTCCAGATGATTCTAATTCAAAGAGCCGGAGTATATTGTTTAAAGAAGTAAGATATAGATTGTTTTTCTGTGTTATTTGTACGAATTAAAAACAAATTTTTTCATAATTATTTCACTGTATGATTGTCACCAGTTGTTTTACCTTTTCTTTGAACCAGTCAATAAATGCACGCGTTATTTGTGAACTCGCTTCAATTTCTTTTTTCTGCTGGCCACGAATTCTAGAGATGTAGAGTTTAACAGACTGTTGTGTTGTATAAGTAGACTGCTAGAGTTTCAAATAGGAATAAGACGTCTGTTCAGTCTTTTTTAGTTTTAGGCAGTTCTTCAATTAACATCAGCTTACATTCCACAGAACTATCTGATATTATATCATCAATATGTTTATAGGAATATAAAGCTATTTGTTGTTTATGCAGACGAGCATTGATTTACCATAAGTTCATAACGTTGAAATAATTTTTTGTTTTGTCTGTTTGTTTTTCTCTCAAAAATACTGAAAATAGTAGCCACAACCCAGATTGATTGGTTCCTTTTCATAGTTTGTTTTTTCACAACAATTTTAGTTAAATCTTGCCATGGATAAAGCTGAACAACTCAAAGCTAATTTAAATTGTAACAGTAAAATGATGATTGGTGAAAATGAATCTTCTAGTTTTCAAATTGGCGAAGAAGTACTGGATGAAGATCCACAAGAAGAAGGTAGGTGTTTTCACTTTGTTATGCAGGTTTAATTTAGTTTTTTTGACGAGATTTGTTTTACGTTACCTTGAGCCACACCTTAACTGTGAGGCCTATCGATACTAAACAGGTGCTCAAACCGAAGTAAAGGGAGTTGAGCTTAAATCCACGACTTATTAATTGAAAGTCAAACATCTTAAACCCTAAGCTTTCGCTTCAGTGTACACTGCTTAATTGTTAGTATTTGTAGCTCTTCAATAAGTTTACATTTTAAATTAATTCTTTTAAAATAATTTAAAGAGACTGGTAGGTCCTGGGTTCGAATCTCGCAAGGCGGGATCGTAGATGAGTACTGCTGAGGAGTCCCACAGTAGGACGAAACGGCTGTCCAGTGCTCCCAGGTTTTCCATGGTGGTCTAACTTCAATTGACTCATGATTTCAACTACATATTATATATTTGTGGAGAATATAATTTTTTTCAAAAAATATCTTCCTAAATTAGTTATTTAGTTTATCTACATCTAAATTTAATAGTTATAGACTATTTTATTCAGTTTAATATTAGTGTTTCTTAACAACTCAATATAGAAAATTTTCATCAACAGTTGGCCTATTATGACGTCCATGGGAATCATTTAAATTGTACATCAACATCATCTTTTTAATGACTAAAATATCATTCATTTAAACAAATGAGCAATTGAATAATGTAGTGTAACATTTTTTGTTTGTTCCTCATTTCAGATCAGTGCTTATTAATGTGAAGGGAGAGAGATTTATCTAACCTATTTTTATGTTGTTTGTTGAAAACTTTCAATGTGTACACTAAAAAAAGCTTGATGATCTATCAAGTGATCGTGATATTGTGTATATTTATTAGTTGAATATTTTTCTTATTTCCTTTTTTCTCATATGTAACTGTTCATTTTACATGTAATTGTTAACTTCTATTTTGTTGAACATTCGTGGTACTTACAAACACCTCATACATAGATCATATTATCTTTTATCGAAAAATGTCTTTCATACGAATTTTTTTCTTTTAATATACTTTAACGGTAAATATGAAATTATTTTGTAGTTGGTTTTGTATTTCTTGTTGTTGTATTCATCTCTCTTTTTCAGAGGTACTTAACTTTCAGTAATGTCTATGCATAGATATAGATCTTTTTAAATACTAAGTTTAATTAGCGTTGGGTTAACTTTTGAGGTTACAAACGATTAGGATATATATATTTCTAATAGGAAATGTAATTTATATAAACTGGATAACACACATACAACATTTTAACGGTCATCTCCAACTCGATAGAAGATATGAATTCAAGAGAATCCTAATATTTAAGAAAACAAGTATGAAGAAGATCAATTTGGTATATATACCCGTCAACAGTGACCTTGGGACAGAAAATTCATAACACTCAAGGTAATAACATCCAATCAGATAACAGTGAACACTGATTCTGAATTCTGATGAGTAAAATAGTTAATCAGCAGATATTTTGTTTTTTATTATCCAGTCATATTGATTAAACGACCACACATGTTATCTAAATGCTTGTGAGAGTAATGGCGTTTGTTAATTTAAGATTGGTCACTGGGTGGTGATCAACGCCATGCTTCTCATATCGTTTTCAGTGCAGATCGAATTCTACCGACCGAGTTGCAATGTGGCCACTAGTCTAGGTGACTCGACATTACGTGCACTATATTGAGATAAGATGGCGGTTGGAGGTAGTCAACAGGGAACCCTGTACTTAGTTTTCGTGCTGCCTGGGATTTGTCAGCAAGGTGTGACTGTGATCTTGAAGGGACTGATGCTTCTTGACTTCCTTGACCCTTTGTCACCCAGCTTCACAGTCAGAGATGTTACCACAGCTGTTCGGGCCGCGACTGACCTCCTGTAGGACTGAAATGTATTTACAATTGATTGATCACTACCCAGTGATCATTTTATCGACCTGAATCTAAGTTTAAAGAAGATGTATTCTAGTTTATCGACCTTACAGAATCTTCTACATATATTGAGTATGAATTGAAAAATTGACAAAAAGTGAATGCACTAGCTAATTAATCAGGATTAACGGATGTAATGCTGCGTTGTTATTGTTCATTAAAATTTATCCGTCAAATACAAGTCGACGAGTGCTAATAAGTGTAAAACTGCAGTTTAAGGCCTATCGATTGCGTAATATCGAGTCATCTGAAATAGTGTTAACTTTGTCACTTGATCAGTAGAATTCGATCAACAATAAAGATTGAACATGCGACTGTATTAGACACTACTAGTTAATAGTGAATTTTTGTAAATATTTAAGTGCCACATTTTAAATAACTCGGTTACATATTTCCTGGGTGAAATGGGTTTCAATCACAGGCTGAATGCCTGCTGTGTCAAGTTATTTTATACACTTTACTGAGGACTACAAAGTAGCTAACCAACCTGTCAATAAATGATTCAGTAAATCAAGATAATCATGGTAGCAAAAATCATATGTGTCTTTGAGTTATGGAGTACTGAACCAAACCAGTGTTTAGAGTTTACTAACAAATATTCAACAAATGTTTTTCCCCACCGACAATTAATATATTTAAGTTTGGATAAAAAAAAACCCGGGGTAAATCACTAATATAGAAATGTTATTCAGTTATGTTTTATAAAGTAGATGATGATCAAAGTATCGCTGAAATCTATTTATCAAACAAATCCTCAAACTCTGTTCGCGGTGTCATGGACCAATAACTAACCATACCCTAAAATAAAATCGACTATAGACAAAATTAGGTATCCTATACGCATAAATATAAATTGTCTCAACTACAACTTATGTTTATTCTTCTGGGAAAATACCGATGATATCCAATTGTAAGTCTCAACAAGAAACGCTATAGAATGTTGTATAACAACTCAGCTACTCCCAATAAGCATGAAACCCATATAACTCAAACCCGAATTACTATCTTCGTAGCTCTGGTTATTTGGTTAGTTAGTGAAATTTATTAACTAAACGCGGATACATTTACTTGGTCCTGCGGCACGCTTTTGTTCTATAGGATGAGAGTAACATTCATCTTATAAGAATGATTTTTTAATGGTGTAAGGAGTAATGGTTTTGGATTATCGGTATTCGATTATAGCAACCACCACCGCTATCTCCTGTGTCTATTTCGAATCCTGAAACTATGATTTAAGTTGTTTGTTGGTGTAGGAATTCCTGTGTAACCGGAACTTCTAAATGAATTAAAAGCTTATGGGAAGGAGGTTTTCTACCACATTGTAATAAGAGAGATCATAGTGGTTTTTATTTAAAATATGTAGGCACAATATAGTGTCATTCTCATTGACTGGCAGCTTCTCAAATTACATAAAGGTTGGTTTTATAGTAACTTTAGTATCTAGCGTTATGGGCAACCTGTTAGTCATAGACGTAAGTCTTGTATGTTTGATAAAAGTTTTTTACACAGTAACTATATGGTCGGTAGATCGCATACACTAGTTTCTACGTCTTACTTATGAGACAGGCCTTTGCTTTAATCATTTGACATCTGATCAGAAGGATTTTATCCGCCCTTTATTGATTTTTAGAGCTGCGGTTTGTGTTATTTGCCGACTATCAGAAAGAAAACATTTGTGCAAGATGTTTTAAATATATGCAAACGTGTGTTTAAATAATGAAAACTTTCAGGTCATATCAACTTACATGGTGAAATTTACTTAGTCGGTGATTTTGAAACATTACCCGAACGTATAATCGATGTAGGAAGTGCAGCTAAGACCCATCTTGATGTTAACGGTGATCTAGGATTCTTCTTTTCTATAATATACCAAAACGTTTCAGCCCATTCATTTTAGGAAGTTGTAGATATCGATTGTTACTCCAGGACTGGCCTGCGTCAACACCTTTACTAAGGATAGGGAGTGAAGTAGTCGAACGCGTCGACAACTTCACTTATCTTGGAAGTCTGATCAGCCCTAATGGATTGGTGTCTGACGAAATCTCAGCACGGATTCAAAAGGCTCGTTTGGCTTTTCCCAACTTACGTCACCTATGGCGAAGACGAGATATCCGTCTACTAATTAAAGGACGAGTATGCTGCGCGGCAGTTCGCTCTGTTCTACTTTACGGCTGCGAAACGTGGCTATTAAGAGTAGAAGATACTCGTAAGTTACTAGTATTTGACCACAGATGCCTTAGAAATATTGCTCGCATCTGTTGGGATCACCGGGTAAATAATAGTGAGGTTAGACGCAAGGTATTAGGGAATGATGATAAATCAGTCGATGAGGTGATGAATCTTCATTGACTAAGATGGTTAGGCCACGTGTCACGCATGCCTGAACACCGATTACCACGACGCGCTATGCTGACTAGTATTGGGGATAGTTGGAAGAGAGTTAGGGGCGGCTAAACCAAAACGTGGCATCAGAGCTTGAAGTCACTAACTTCCAGTCTGGGCCATGTTGGTAGATGCAGACTATCTGGTTGGGGTCCGCGTGACTATCGTAACCAATGGTTGGAGACTCTAGGTGACATGACTCAGAATCGATCACAATGGCGTAGGTGTATACACTCTTTATCTTCCCTTAAACCTTGAGATTAAAATTGCTCCATAACTTTCTTCCTTGCTATACTATATCCTTACATACAACCTATTTATTATATACTACCACCACTAAATTAACTATTTCTATGAATCCGGTGTTCATCTTGTTGTGCTAACGAGGTATGGGAACTTGGACCGATGCATATGTGTGCTTGGTCCTACGTTGTAGCTGACTGACTGACTGAGATATTGATGGTAACTACCAATGCAACAAAGAATTGTTAAATTCGATCGATATTATTTATAGAACTTTAGTTTTAGTAATTCAGAACATTAACATATTCATCTATGTTTATAAGATGAATGGTGACTAAATGATAATCTTTTATAGTTTTTTTTAGATATTCTTAATCGTATACATGTATGCATAGTTAATACTCTGGATTCATTAGTAATATGATCTGTTGATTTAAATCATATAAGAACTTTCGTCTAAATTAGAGCGAATAGTTTCACAGTATTTAGGCGCCGAGCTGATGTAAGACATTGAATAGGAATAATATATTTGTTGAAAAAGCTTGTACCAGATTGCTAGGCGAAACGTTGAATTTACTTCAAATTCATTCGCTGAGATTTTAAAAATATATTATTCCTGTTGATTTAAATCATTTAAGAGAGGATATTCTACAAAGTAATTTCCACTTATCATTTATCGAATTAACTTATTTACAGGCAAACTAATTACTGCGATATTGATGAATCTATGTCTATCATGAATGAACTTGTCAGTTTAGACTTACTAATAATATGAAAGTCGTAATCTGCTATTAAAACGTATATCAAACTAATAATAAATATTTTTTTGTCATATCTCAATGAGTAAATATTTGCTCTGAAGAAATGGTTCACATAAAGTCATGAAACGTCAAAAATACAATTTTAATGACTCAGTGGGATATAACAAAAATAGATTTATTATTAACTCTCTACCCAATGCTCCATTTACTTGAAATTATTAAGTTCAACCTTGATATTGATACATATAAACTCATTGATAATCGGTTATTAAACTTTTTTTTTTCAGAATACACTGTTTCTATGCATAACAATTAGTCAATGATTAGTTATCAGTTCCTGCTATTTTCTTTTGGATTACATATTTATTCATTCGATTTGTGTGTAATTTATAGTTTAATTTAAACTTGGTGGGATAATTCGAGAATCATTAAACATAACTTGAAACATTAAGTTCTGTTTTCAAATGAAAATAATCATGAATTAACTTTTATATTTAACTATTTGTTAACAAGCTTCTTATCTTCGAATGTACTCTATTAACTGAGACGATATTCTACTGTCGACACATAGTGATTTAATTTCTTGTTACTTCTTTATACAATATACGGATATCATAAACTCAGCTTTTAGCGTTCCAATAAACTTAATAGAAGATTGTGTATCAAAGAGATTGTTCATTAATACTTTGTCTTCCGTTGATCATTATTTCAATACAATTTATCATCTACGTTAATTAGTAATTATTGTTTGGTTACTTGAAAATTTGATTCTCCTAAACAGTTTATCTGATTGAGTCACTTCTTATTGAATAAGTTTTATGTATAAAATTATAAATCATAACATCCAATAGAAACTACCTAGGTTCCATAGGATTTGACTAATCAGATTATGATAAAATGGAGTAAGTGTTAGCCAAACTACAGTTATCTTATTGGCTTTATCCTCAAAGGGTCACACCGAATCAGTCAAATGAGTAAGTTTCAAAAAGAAATGAGGTATGGTAAATTTCACATTTAACTCTCCAGCATCCTTTCAGTAGCATTTCAGTCGGCCATAAGTAATATTGCCTGGTGAATCAAATTAATGTAAATGGAGCAAATTTTGACGTTCAACGTAATAACTGAAAGTCGAATGTTTTAGCAATTAGCTTATCAATTGATTCACCATAGTTAGATCTCATTATTTTTGGAGTAAACAAGAAACGAAGGGCTAATTAAACTAAATTATAATTTCATATAAAGAACTGTACCTTTACACCACCTAATTTACCTATTCCAGCTTTATGCATCATATTGATCATATCTTAAAAAATTCAGATGAATAGGCTATTATTTATATCGAAAAATGATAATGAAAATCTTCTAATGATTTAAATTAGAATATTAAAGATTCCCATTGTGAAAATTAGAACAACATATGTAAGCGAACAATTGTTTTCAATTGGATCGTCAGCTAATTATTTACATACTTCTTGTTACGTAATGATTTTAATGTTTTGTGATCACTATTCTAAGTCTGTTTACCCACGTTTGACCTCCTATTTCCAGTGTTTAACTATTGTTAAAACTTTTGTTTTCGTAATTTAATATTCTTACTACTATCAGTACACCTGTGTTCCCACTATCAACTTGTACTTTTACCTATTATGCTCGGTGATGTATTTTATTTCATTGTGGTAAGATCCAATGTTCTATATATAACATAGTATTGAACTTAAGCAAATGAGTTGACCATTAACATTATAATTAAATGTGGAACATTTTACATAGAACTGAAACGCAAATTATGATTTTATAGTTGAATTCATGAGTCGACTAAAGCTAGACCACCATGGAAAACCTGGAGGCATTGGACGCCAGTTACGTCCTAGTGTGGGACCCCTCGGGAGTGTGCATCTACGACTCTGCACGCGGGACTCGGACCCAGGACCTCCGGTTTCTCGTGCAAATACTTAATCTCTAGACCACTGAAATGGCCGGCATCCAACGGTGTTAATATCTAACCTCAACCAAGATGAAACAGTCGTTCATTGCTTTCAGGTTTTCCATGATGGTCTAGCTTTAATCAACTCATGAATTCAACTATTAAATTACTACAATCTCTACAAACCTCTATTCTAATAAAATTGTAATTTGTTAATACTTCGATATATAAAATAAGATAGTAGATTATTTTATTTTCTGCCCTAATTCATTCTAATTCTATTCTAACTTTGAACAATTATTTCCTATCTAGATAATGAACCAATCAAAATTGAAGAATAACAGACATCTAATTATTTTCTCTCATTCACTATTTTGTCAGATAGAATAAATATATTTCACCTATCATTTTAATATTTATTTTAATATTTTTTCTATATATATATATATATATATATATATATATATATATATATATATATATATATATATATATATATGTCTTATATAGATTAATAATTGGAAAAACACAAAAAAAGATAGAAAATTGAATAAGCGCGTTAACTATTAATCTGATTGGTTAATAATTTAATAATTACTAGTTATTACTAACAATAATTATAAACATTGTACATTGTACCTTTTTTTAAAAAGAAAAAAAACCCTTCAATATCATCATAATATACACCTATTTTTCTTTAAAAGTAAACAATCATTAAACTATATAAAATTGCTAAAATCTCCATAAACACCCCCTCCTAAACAATTATTGTTGACTTTTTTCAATAACAAAAAAGAAACTTATGTCAATATACCCCATTTTATATTAATTGAGATGTTTAAATTATTAGATAATTTCAATGAAAAGTCTAAATCTATAATGATTGAACAAATGAAACAACAATATTGTTTATTACAATATGATAAAGAGATGGTAACAAATTTTTTAAACTTTATAAATCATCATTATATATGGAATTGTTATAATAATAATAACAATAGTAATAATAGTTATAATAATGATTTGGATATGAATAATATTCAAGAAAAGTTAATCATTGAACATTTGAATCCTTTAATGTTAATTAATTCATATACAGATTATCCATTTTGGTCATCTATGTTAATATCAGCAGTAAATGAGGCTGTAACAACAACAACAACAACTAGTACTACTACTACAACATCAGGAATAATACCATTATCTTCTACAATAATACCATCAACAATTATATCACCAGTTAAAACATCATTATCATCTTTATCAATGATGACAATTGATGATTTACAGAATGATATTAGTAAGATTAATTATGAAGAGGATTTTTTTAGTAAATTACTTAAATGCACTTTAATACAAAATGAAAATTCATATTCTAGTGAAATAGAACAGTTAAGTTTATCCTCTTCTTCATCATCATCATCATCATCATGTTCAACGAATTCATCGTCATCAGTGTATATGAGTGAGAAAAAAGTCAATGGATTTTTTGTTAAAGATATATTAAGCTTTGATAAACATAAAGTTATTCGACGACAGAAGACTGATGACAGTTTCGAAAAAGAAGTTTTGGTAAAAGGAAGAGATGAAGAGAAAAAAGAGGGAGTTCAAGAAAGACAGAAAAAAGACAACATAAATAAATACAAAATTATCAATTGTACAGATTTTAGTCATAATAATATGAATTATGTTTGTGATAATCGTAAAGAGCCTGAAGTTGAAAATTTACAAAAGAATAAATTGATCAATAAATTTACTGTTGGATCAGAAGAAGAGGACAACTATGACATTAACGATGCTGCTAAAAATAACAATAAAAACTATTTACGAAAAATAGTAAGTGATGATGGAGTGAAATTAAAATCTAATCGCAATCATAATAAAAAATTGAGTTCACGTAGTAGAATACATGAAATAACATCATCGAATAAGCTTAGTACCAATGATCCAAGTAGATTACATCTACCAGCTTGGGTATTTTGTACGCGATATTCCGATCGTCCATCGTCGGGTAAGTTAGCAAGATTTCGTTTTGATCGATTTAAGATATAGTAAATTAATTATCTGAATATTTCTCGAGTAAACCTCGAGAAGTCATAAATTTTGATGCGCTTTCTTGAATACATTCAAAATGACATTTTTCTACTCAGTTATTACTTATATAATAGATAAGAGTTACATTTACTCATGTTAGCCTATATAACCAGGATATAAGATACTACCATTGAAGTGAATTAGTCTTTTGGTAAACATTTGAAGACTAAAAACATAAAACATGAAACCAGTTATTGGTTAAAATAATAATACAGAACTAACATATGCAACAATTTAATCTCTCTATGGATTTAATCAGTGTAATGTGAAGATAAAGTTAGTCCGAAAAGAAGAAACTTACTTTCATCACACATTTCGGAAAATTTGACCACATATTTGCTTGTCGAAATGAAGTGAGATCAGATTATTCAATTAGGATCATAATCTCAGATAAATGCAGAAAGTTTAGGAACAATCACCTTTATAGTAAAAATTACGTTTAGGAAATAGGTCGTAGAATTAAAATATCGCCGACTTTCAAACATTAATACAGAAACTATCAACGTAACATTCATAGATTTATCCAAACCTTATGAGCTAAAGTAATTTAGCCCTTTTTTACGTAATAGAGAACAATGTATCATTACTTTGAACTATTTATCTACTCCAGTTTACTTCTGGTGTTTCTGAATGATTTATTTGACAAGTACATATGTGACTTAAAAAAATTGTAATATGTTGCGCAACCAAATCACTCACTGTTCAGATCACATATAAACATACATAAACTCTTTTGATTGCATCAGACAAAATTTGTCCAATACCAACAGAATTAAAATTAGAACGTTTCAGTGAATTTATGATTAGGATATTTCGACATTTAAAAGAGAGGATAGGAGTTATATCTCGTTTATATCATCAGTATAATATCCCTCTATATTGTACGAGTGAAAGTTACTCAACTTTCTCACTAAATACAGTTGTGAAACCCATTTCACCAACAGATTGTTTTGTAGCCTAACAGGTTTCAGTTTGCATGTTCATAATTCATTGATACATTTGTAATGGAATCATAGACCGACTTAAGTTAGACCACTACTGAAAGCCTAGAAACACTTGATAGTTGTTTCGTCCTAGTATTGGACTCCTCAACAGCGCACATTCATGATCCCTCACGTGGTACTCTAAACTAGGGATTTCTGTCTTGCGCGCGAATGCTTGACATCCAGACCAATGAAATCAAGCAATTTTCAAAACGTCATCCTGACAATTATTATATAGTCACTAGTGACTAGCTTCTAGAGTTCTATTGAAAAGCCATGACCAAAAGAGTTCAATCCGTGTTGAAGGTGAGGCAATTACTCACCGAAGACAATGAAAGATGGACTGATTAGGGTTGAAAATTTACACCGTTGGATACCGTGTTTGTACGCAAGACTTAAATTCCTGGTTTACAGTATCGTGTTCAGGATCATGGACACACTGCTGAGGAGTCTCATAATAGGTTAAAGCGACCTTTCAATCCTTACAGGTTTTCAATGGTGGTCTCAATTAAATTGGTTCATGATTTAAGTGAAATTCAGCAATTTCCACACACTCCATACAGAGTTCTCAAGTTTTTATTTACGTTATCGAATTGTTGAAGTGTTCAGTTATAATTTTTAAACTGTATAAAATTCCAAAAACCGATTACTGAAATATTCGGTACTATAGAATCAAACCGAATTTCATCTAATATGATCTAAATAATAATATGCCAATACATAAAATCATATTTGGTTAATCTAAAATGTCGTTCATGTAAATAAATCCGTTTAAATTGAGTGATCAAACTGTAACTTGAATCTCGTGTGCTAGTTATGTGTATAACTGTGAATAATAAGTTGCATGAGACAAGTGATTTAGAGAAATTGTGAAGATTTTGGTATGAAATGGTTATCTGATAAAGTATGATTCGGATGTAGAGTCTGTTTACATCTGAGGGAACTTTAAGACTAAAAGTTATTATCCATAGTTGGGTATTTCTAAAATTTATTGATGAATAATCCTGGAGATATTTTTTATTGAGATTTTAAGAGTTTATCACCTGAATTTTCACTGGCTCAAACAATTTCGGTAATTATTAGTATATAATGCTTGTGAAGATTATCAAATTTCATGTCTTGCATCACAGACAGACCTTAGTTGCATAGTCATTGAAACCCAGGAAACCCTGTTTCAATGTTATTCCGTGATGCAATCTATAGATTTACGACAGTTTTAGACTTGTACTTTCGGATCTATTACAGATACCCATGGCAATATACTCCTCAAATCGTGCTTGTAAATCAGTTGGTAATTCATCAGCATTGAATATTTCTTTCTTAGTTGATCCTGAGGTCTGAATATTTTTTATATTAATTAGTATAATATATAAAAGTTACAGATTTTAGATTTACAGGATGGTACTAAAGAGCTTTCCAATATGTTTCGTAATACTCTTAAAGGACAATAGATTTTCATAAAAACGAAATCTCTTTCAAGTCGTGATGTAGAAAAATTTTCACTTCTTTGGTTATCTAAGTATCTTTCGTGTTTTTAACCAACTTCATAATCCTCGTAATGACATAAAACAAATTTATCAGTAGCAAAATTTTCTTTTCAGTAATTTCATTGTCGAAGGTCATAAAATTACGTTTATATAAAGCAATTCACGTAATAGACAGTCTTCTGCTAAACTAATAAAAAGATTTTAATCATTTCAAATCCAATCTTTTGGGTTATGCTAAACAGTTTTTCAAAACAAAACCGAGACAAAGAACAAATTACCACTGAATATTTACAATCTAATCTAGTACAATCACTAATTTGATAATTAAACTAGCAGCTGCATCCAGATGATGAGTCCTAAGTAGGACGAAACCTGCATCCTTGATCTCTTTACTAGCCACCATTCCCTCTGTTAATGATGCATGTAAGTTATTGGCAGTATCGAGGCAATCTGCACAGGATGCACACATGCCAAGAACAAAACTGATCAATTGCAGTCCTAAACATCAATTGGAAGATTCAAACAACCAGTAAAGATGAATTGAATTAATTTTTGTTTATTTTTTATTTATTGTAATCATAATTATCATGTTATCCATGAAATTTCCAAGTTTGATGAAGTAGGTTCGGGAATTTATTCTTTTAATAGTAGTAGTAATAGTACTAGTACTAGTAGTAATAGTACTCGTTTTATTCAATACCATATATTTGATTATAATAATATTGCAATAAGTTCCCGTTTTATGAACACTGTACTCGTGAAGATTTAAGAAGATTTGTACAAAAGTTTTTAAACAGTGATTAATTATCGTTCATAGTCATCAGTTAATGTTTACGATCAGTTTTACTCTCATAACGTCACTTCCTAACACTTTCTTAGCTTCTCAATTATAAGATTCTCATAGGTTGTAAACATTTTATGAAGGATTATGAGCACATAAGGTTGACATGTAATTATTTAATTGAAGCAAATCTAAAACAGGTAACTATGTAGAAATAAATGTTACACTTTTTTCAAAAAAAGTAGTAGACTAGACATCTGAGCTGGCCTCTATATACCAACAAACAATATGAAAAATTGATTTATTTTTGGTTATGGTACATACCATACGTCAATTTACAAGTACATGCTAATGAAGACACATTGAAGGGACAGAAAAAACCATCATCTACACATTTCGTAGAACATATTCAAAAAAAACCTGTTTCTGAGTACAGAAAAATATTTGTCATTTATCAACATACCACTTATTGAACATAGGACACTAAATATAAGTAATTCAACGAACAATTTAGTATTACTTACTAGGATTTGTAAATGAGAATGGAAATGAGAATGCCTAAACCTGATGTTTGTACTCAAAAAAAATAGTCAACGATTAACCGACAGCAGAAAAGAAAAGTATAACAAATAAAATAAAATAAATTTTCATCATTCTTCAATTAGTTGTTATCGCAATTCAATGAGATTAACCTAAAATACAATAAATTCATTCCTATTCTGAACTTATTAATGTTTATGCTTCTTTCAAATTCAACACTTCAACGTACTTTAGTTTCATTTGATTCATAGGATCCTATGGAAAATTGAATCTAGATTCTGATGAATTTGTAAATAAGTCCGTTATATGTTCTTGAAAAGTATCACTTTATAGTGTTCTCTTTTTACATACTTCCTTAAGCTTTAATGAAATCTGAGTATTCTTTACTTTATCTAAACATTGTCTGAATTCTATGTAAAGTTGGATAACAGTTTTCAGCAATGAAATCCGAGACGCATATTTTGTCCTATCTGGGATTCATCAGTTGAGTGTACCTAAATATGAATTATACATCGATTGAGAATATTAAATGATGAGCAAAAATCGGAAAGGTATACATTTCAATGATGGTTTGGGTCATTGATTGTCGAAAAGATGTTAGAAAAAATCTGATTTTGAAAACTATATTATTTTATAAAACCGGTAACCTCATTTTGGTGGAAAATTTAAATCATAAACACTGTAGTCTGATGTGAAACCAACTCAACTCACGAGTGTTAACATGATCAAAGTCATATACGTAGATTGAAGTTATGAGTTAATGTCTACTGCCAGATGTTAGTTAACGAAACCTCGAAATCACTCTAAGGATTCTTTAGAAAAAATAGTTTATTTTCAGGTTTGTAACGCCTTTGAACCTTGTGTCATAGCGTTTGTCAACTCCCACTGAACAGTGAATTTCGATTCATTTTAGTACTTTACATGACTAAATTTAGTAATTAACGATCTTTCACATGAAAACGATTTGCATAACACATAAGGAATAGTCCTTAAAACTTTGTTGACGTAACATGTTTTGACTATCTGTATGACGTTATTATTTTTTTTACTCAGTAGAGTTTCCTCATGTCTAGAGAATAAATTAAGTGTCCTCTGTTACGGAAGTTGTTATATATATTCTAAAAAT